TCTTCCATTTTCTACATAAATCATAATCTAGCAACTTCAACAATAAAGATCATTCCGGAAATTTCTATCTAAATATAATGCATGAGTTTTCTACAACAGATAAGAAAGTTCTAGTACATACATGTAGTTAATGTTCTAAAAATAGAACAATGATAATATTGGAAATACCAACTGGTCAGATATAAATTATATACATGTAATATGTTGCATACATAACACTGTTGTCACTTAAGACTGTCATATTGTAACCGTTTTGCTTAGTCCAATACTTCTACATAAATGATGTTTTAGCTTTTTTTATACGATCTACATTAATAAACACAACATAAGTCAATTTTAATACTGTTTTATTTGCCATTAGTTTTACAAAGAAATTTTTGTTTTATACTCAGTCCAAATAGATACAATTTTATTATATTAAATACTTAGAATCGTGGTACAAAGACAACAAACTTTTAAATTCATAACGCTAAAAATTAAAAAAGATAAATATTTTATGAGAGAGATGGAAGTGGGTTAGCCCTTTGAAAGGTAAAAGTTGCCTTATTGTCCAAGAATGAGTCGGAAAATGAACTTACAAAAACCCATGCTTAACTACAGAGAAAATAGGGGTATTGTAAATTAATCTATTTCTTGAGAAAACATGGTTAATGGATAAGAAAAACCATAAAAGCGTAGCATTTAATCATTGACCATGAAATGACCAAAACTTTAAAAGGGCCAATTTTACACTTGAAAAGTAATGTATATAAGTGATTCTGTAATATTTTCTTACTTCCTATTGTTGGTGTCGACTGAAATGATGCATTTTGATCTTTTTAAATATTTCCCTGTCGTGGTTTCATCGTTTAGTAATCGAATCACCTCGTCCCTGCAATCGACCATTGAGATTACTTAAGTGCCCGCCGCTGCTATTTCCGTTGTATGTTTCCTTTTATTTGAAAGTCGAAGGCGTTGATTATGTAAAATGGTCTGACGTCACCCGGATTTACGAACTTCTCATAAATTACTTCTTCCTCCAAAATAGTAGCCTCTAGAATACGGTGTTCACTTCGAAAATTGACGCTTAACCAAGTTCTTCCTGAAGTATCTGGCCCAATGTGTACAAGTAACAGTTAGAAAATGTGCTACATTTATATTGTATTTGCTTGAAATGGTTGCATACAATGATTTATTAAAGTTTTTTGTCTTCACTGGTTACTTCAAATGTATCATATAACATGGCATTTTAATTTTTGTGTTGTTATCTACGGGAATAAACTTCTTACAATATACATATTTTTATAAGTTACTTATCATGGTCAATTAAAACCAAAGAAGTCCAAAATAGTGTTTAAAATGTATAACATGTTCACAACAACTATAGATTTACTTAAACGGTGTTGGGGGTAATCTTTTGATTGCAATTTATGTTTCGAGTTATGGCTACTGAGCAAGTTTATTTATATTTGTCTTAGTGCCATGCACATTTGCACAATCCTGCATATGTAACGTTTTACAATATTGTATCATGGGATATAAATGATTTGCTTATATAATTGGTGCATATCGAATCAAAGTCAACTCCTGCATCTTTCTTGCCCAAAATATTACTTCCGATGAGGTATACTAGTATCTGTTTAGTATTAGGCCGTTTTTTCCTAAAAATTGTTCCAGCTATTTACATAACAATTTAGATTATGTATACCAGTACTCGCCTGTTCTTTGCTTGTCATAGACTGCTTGCTTACATGCAGTCTTATCATTCTTATGAAGACGGAATGATGCTAATTAAGAATACACCGGAAGAAAATTCTTCGAACATGTATTAATTTCCAAGCATATTCAAAACCAGCTGTTTATAAAACGTCGACATAAAAAACATATTTACAAGACAGATAATCTAGTACGTACAAGTGTTTATTCATAGAAGCTTGTTACTTACATTTCTTTGCAAATTATTGTATATTTTATATAAAAATAGCCTGATCATCTATTTACCATGAAATTAATCATTAACATGTATAATTAAAAGACATTTAAAAAGTATAACAGTAAAAGTATTTACTTTTTAGGATTAGAAAACTGTTTTATGTTTAATTATGCTTTTGTCAACACGTGTCAGCCTCAATATTTAATTTCTTTATTATTTTTATCATCATCATCATCATCATCATCATCATCATCATCATCATCATCATCATCATCATCATCATTATTATTATTATTATTATTATTATTATTATTATTATTATTATTATTATTATTATTATTATTATTATTATCATTATTATTATTATTATTATTATTATTATTATTATTATTATTATTAGTGTTATTATTTTTATTATTATTATGTATCCATATCAAAAAATGATCAGCTTATCTTTGCACTCGTTAAAATAGAATCTCGGAAAATTCTGTTTTCATCTCCTGTGACTTAACTCAACAAGTACATTTAACTGACAATAATGCACAGCAAAACTCTCATGAATACACACGAATTCAGATTTAAATAATATCTGATTTGTACACACATGACCTACACAAGCTTAGCGCTTGATATATTTGAATAGCTTTGAAATGCTTTCTTCAATAAGACAAAGTATATAAATAATGTGAGTAATACTAATAAATACTAAGTTTATGAGTTGATATCAACATCTCACTGACAAATCCTAGTTCTGAGAGAAAATCTGCCTTTCTTTTACCAATTGAATCCAACATAACAGTACAGTTTTAAATGAAGATCAATTTGTATTTTCGTATATATTCGAAATAGGACACACAGATAATAATGTAAAAACACAAGGGAGCTAACTGTAGCAATAATTATAGCAACAATTTGAACAATTCACTTTCCCTTAAATTACTATATTACAAATAAACAAATAACATAAATACAGTTAATTTATTAGAAGAAAATAAACTTGCCTCAACTCATAATAAAATAACAATGCGTCAAGTTTTCAATTTATTTCAATTATATATAAAAGTCGCACCTCTTTCTTTATACAAAGTCATAGCTTCACGATTGAAGCAATGTATTTTATCAAAGACACATTATGCCTCACAAATACTTGTTTTTTCATTTTTTTTTCATTTTTAATTTTGCTGTCCTGCTATATATCCCAAAAAAATACTCATTGGCCAAGTATCTGTATGCTATTTGTCTTCTGTTTCTTTTTTTTGCAATTTGTCATAACATAGGTATTTTTCATTTTGAATGGAAGTCAAAACACTTCTTTGTTTACATTTTGCTATTTCATAACATATAATTTCACATTCAGATCTACTTTCTTCAAATGATACGTAGCTTATATGCTCTAAAACTATTACATAAACGTTATAGAACTAATACATTGTGGTTGCCTTATCTGAAAAATTAACAGAATGTATTTCTAAGGCATAATGTGCCTTTAAACCATTAGTGTAGAAAATAAGTAATTAGAACACAAAGTCCTTATTTCATGCATATACCGTTTGGTCTTAGTCAGTTGTATTCCATTGTTATGCAGGAGAATGATTTGTTTATCGGAACATTATTACAACTTAAAACTGAATAAAATAATCATTTACTATAACTTTCAAGACCGTTTGCTTGTAAAAAGGGAGATAACAATACTTATAAGTAGTTAAAGCTGGATATGGATTAGTCTCCCCTGTATATTTAAAAAATGGCACTTTGACCCATGCTTTCGCCTAGCTGTAACAAAAAATTGAAATTCAGATAATATATTACTTATTTTATAAATAATACATTGAAGATTTGTCTCACTGAAGTTCTAATAACACGTTAATTCATTTATCAATAAGAGATGTGTTTTGGAAAAAATATATAATTCTTATTTTTCTGTAAAGAGCATATGATGTTATAGCATGTATAAAATTATAACATTATATTACTTATAACGTAAAAAAGATGTAATTAAAACCACACATATGTAACTATGTAATCTAAAACGGTATATATGTAACTAAAACGGTACATATATAACTAAACCATAAATATGTAGCTAAAGCGTTCATGATTCCCATGTAAAGAGAAAAAAGTATATATGTAAAATGGTATATGTGTGACTAAAATGGTAAATATGTAGCTGCAACGGTACATATGTAACTACAACGGTACATTTGTAACTTAAACGGTACGGTACATGTTAAGCTAAAACGGTGATATGTACAAAAGAAAAAACGGAACATATGTTACTAAAATGGTACATATAAAATTAAGAATGTACATATTAAATTAAACGGTATTTATATGTAGCCTAAACGGCAGATATGTATCTTAAACGGTTGATCTGTAGCTGAAACGACACTTATGTAGTTTTAACGGCACACACGTAGCTAAAACGATACTTATGCAATATAAACTGCACATATGTAGCTGAAACGACATTTATGTTCTATAAACGACACATTTATATCTAAATCGATACATTTGTATCTAAAACGATACATATGTAACTAAAACGGTGCATTTGAAACTTAAACGGCACATATGCAACTAAAAAAATGGTAATATGGCACTTAAGCGACAGAATTGTAATATGTAATTAAAATGTCCAAATGTTACATAAATTGTACATTTAAACGATACTTATGTACTATAAACGGCACATATGTATCTAAACCGGTATATTTGTATCTAAAACGGTACATATGTTACCAAAACGGTACATTTGAAACTTAAACGGCACAAATGCAACTAAAATTGTACATATGTATCTTAAACGACACAATTGTAATATGTAATTAAAAGGACCAGATGTATGATAAACGGTACATAAGTAATTTAAACGGTATTTATGTAATCAAAACGTCACACATGTAGCTAAAGCGGCTCATATTAACTGAATGTGTAACTGTATCCACCATGTTATAACAATAGAAATGAAAATTAAACTACAATCGATGCATTAAATGGGTTTTCACCTAAAGTATATGAATGCTGAAATCAATTTAAATTTTGAATTTTACTAGGAAATTACTCATGAATTTTTTATAAAACAAATAAATGTTTTGTATATGACTTGTTTATTTATAATCATAACATTGTTACAGCTGACAACTTATATATCACCGGCTTGACTTTTCTAACTAAATGCCATGTTTTACGTAAAAATAAATGGTAATCAATCATTTCTGTACAATAATTATTTCAATGGCTGCAATTAAAAATGTGTTTTAATTAAGTGGACGTGTGCTAATCAATATGAAATGGAATAAATACTGCTTACATCTGTGCTAGGGAGCGTAAAGGCCGCTTAAAACAGACTCGATGAAATCAGGTATGAAATCAATCGATCTTTGAATATTTGTATTTATCTCCTTCTTTTTAAAACATAATTATAATGAAACATACAGACGTTTTAAAAAAGCATACTTTGAAAATTGGGCAATTGGTCTGTACTGTATATTTTACATATACAGTGTAACCTTTTCATAGTGGCCTTCTGTAGAACCGGCAATGAAATCTTTATAATAATAGAATAAAATCTTCCAAACTAAGATTCGATGATAAATGTAAACTCAACTCTGAAGCGCAACATTTAAATGTTTAATTTATTCATGCTAAAAGGATGTTTGCTTTGCACAGGTCTCATGTATACGGGAATCCGTGGCATGATCAAAAGCAATTATATATAATTCATGACTGTTAGAATAATTTTTCGAATTTATTTATTTTTTTAAATTGTATACTTATGATCAGCTTGAAAATTGTTTAAGCAAATAAAACTTTATTATATGAGTTTCGTCTGGTTAAAGAAGTTCGTTTTCTACATATACATGTTTAATCTATCTGATTATATAAGGTATAATTTAGATAAAGGTTTTTATGTTAGCGTGGTTCTATTAGATTTGCAGAAAGCTTTCGACACTGTTGTTCACACTTTTCTTTAAGACAAATTAAAAATGTTGGGTTTGAGTCAAGATGTTGCCAGATTGTTCCATTCTTCTTATTTATTAGGTTGACATTAATGTTTAGGTATATACGGCACTTATTCATCATTTCAGAAAATTGCAGAAATAAATGTGGCGTACCCCAAGGCTCCATTCTTCGTCCGCTGCTCCTTTTGATTTATGTAAACAATTGCAGGTGTTGTAAAAACAAAGTTTTACTGTACGCAGATATTAGTTTCTAGTAAATGTAAATGTGAAATTGAATGTTTGCTAACAAACGACATTAAACAAGTTAATAACTGGTTAGTTGATTGCAAACCAATGTATAACTAATTAACCTGCAATGCAACAACATCAGTCATTGAGAAAAAAAATGCAATACTAAAATTTCCTTAAGGAAAATAAAAGTTTTTATCTTTTTATACCAAGAAAATGTCAGTAATGCCTTTAATTCAATGTCATTTGCTCTGTTGGGCATTTCTCAGAATCTTCAAAACAGGCTCCAAGCTACTCAGAATAAGATAAAAAGGTTTGTAATTAAACTTGATCAAAGACGTCTCGTTAATTTAAAGCACTTTCAGCAGTTATTCTGGTTACCTGTTTCAGGCAGAGTCGAGCAAATACTTTTAATCATTTTTTTTTTAAATACATACAAATTATGCCCCTTTTATTTGAATTTTATTTCAGCCCGTTCTGTACATAATCATAATACCAGGTTTAATAAATGGTCTTGCTTCAAAATTCCTATAATTGTTCCTACAATGGTTGTTCCCGCTGGAATAAACAACCAGAAGATATACAAAATTCGACCAATATGCAACAGTCAAAGGTGTCCTGTCAAAACATATCTTAACTAGTGTACAAAGTTTTCTTTCCATGCCATGCTATCTCAATTATTTACTTTTTGGATTGCACATTTTAGTCTCCTATATTTATTTTACTGTAGTACAAAGTTATTGATCCTTGCAAGAACATTTCATTATACATCCTTTACTTCAATGTAAACAAGTGCATTTACACTTGTTTGCCATATTGTGTATATGAATACATGTCCTGGTACATATTTTTCATCTTATAAATAAGATTTTTTATATCTTTTATATAAAATGTTTCAAATGTGTTTTTTATTTAACTGTTCTTGTCAGAAATATTTTATTTTATAGTCATACTTAGTTTAATTGTTATTTACTTGTTATTATGTTTTTTTCTATTTGTTGTAATTTTACTCATGACAATAATTATGTGATATTGTTTCTCGTTTTGTACAATGAAATGCCATATTTTTACATATCGATACATATTATATATCACCGTTTTCGGGTAAGAATGGAAATCAAATATGTAAATAATCGTGTTCAAATGTAATATACACTTGAATGTGTAAATACAATAAATCAGAATAATATATTACTACGGGTAAACATTCATTTCTGCTATGAAATACGATAATACATTGATACAAATACAAAGGGTGGAGCGGCACAACGAGTCGGACTTGTATCTACGGATCTCTGTTTGCGTTGGCGAAAAAAACAAGCTTTTTCCTCGGTAAAGAGACGTTAGGCTTGGCGCGATATATCTCTGTTATCAAGAGCCTTCATAAATAGAGGATATTGAATGAATGTAAGTTTAATACTGAATCTATTGAACGATTTGAATATTTATATAATGCGAGCCTCTGGTGTGCATAATATTCGTTTCTTGAACGAGTTCAATAAATTCAGTAATCAACTTACACGAATTTAATATTGTATTTATCACATACCAAATATAAAGACCATTTGAATTGAAAAGTAACCATTTTTCATTGACGCGCCTATAGTAAAGCGCTTACTTTTAGAGCGTCTAAACGCTATGTTCGTATAATGCAAATGAATTCACGTCAAAATATATGCACGGCCGTGCAATATTATTTTTACGGAGTCGCAAAAACGGCACGGGTATGTGATAAACAACCATAATTATATTTAGAATGCACGTTACCTTTATTTACTACCAGAAAGTCGCTATTCCCACGTTGCAAACATAATTGATCTGCCTTACAATCATGATTTGAACATGCACGTGCCAAAGTCTGAAGAAAAATATAAAGTAAAACAACAGAAACAAGAAGTATCTTTTTTAAAAAATGTGCTAAAGTTAGACTGGTTAATTCAAGTTTTGTCGTTATTTTGGTCACGGCATATAAGTAATTCAGTAAGTTCTTGTGTAAAATAAACACAGTAAGTTCTTATGCTTTTCACTACAAAATGTATTGAGATCTAAACACCGTGTAAAATGTTTGGTTGGAGGATGTACGGTAAAACAGAACTAGATCAATTTACTATCCAGTACATTTTCTTTTTAAACTATCTATTACATTTTATTTTATAATGGCAATAGCTCTCCTTTAAATTTTATTTTAAAATGACCAACGAGATTGGCAGATTTCAGTTTGTAATTATAAAATGACCAATGAAAATATTTCTTATATTCCTTTCTTTCCTGTACATTTTACAATAGAGAAAAACAGAATCCCTAAAGAAAGCCCAACACGGCAAAATTGAAAATGTTGCAGGCTCAGTTTGATTGAGCCTGTTCATGGACGGTACTGGAAAGTGCAAGTTACCGTCCACGCCCCCTAGCACCGGCTTAAGCAGAATTCAACATTTAAACACGAAAATGGTGAAATTTTGAATTTAGAAACATCCGCAGATGTGTTCATACGGCGGTTATCATGGAACCTTCAATGTGACACAGAAGTGCCATTCAATGAAAAGCGGCGTATGGTCCCCAATTAAAAAATGCGTGTGCCCTAATCGAGAAAACAATGGGCGGAACTAGATAAAATGGGATTTTGAAAGGGGATCTGAGGTTATGAAGAAGCCTGCATATCACAGATAAGACGTCAAAAGACAATTTAAAAAGCAGGCAACATATCCTTAGAGTGATTAGACAGTATTCAAGTAGGAATACTTGAACAACCCAAGTTGAAAAAGGCCAAATTGAAGAAATCCAACTGACTTTAGACGGCCTTCGACTGAAAGAACAAACACAATGAATAGATCATCTCTTATAATAGATTAAAATAAAACCAACGACTGATCTAGACAGTGGATATTGAAATGTTAGATATTGTTTAAGTCTTCATTAAGACAGATACTATTTTAATAACTAGGAACACTAATGAATACAAAAATATCAATTAATTTTGGCTGACGAAACCGCTGTCGCCACTTTTTCTGGCTCACTTCGTATTACATGTATACCTGTTTTAGTACAGTTTTTTTTTTCATTTCATTGTAACGACATAAATTCGACATTTTCCTGCCAAATCTTCATTTATTCCGTACCAGAAGTAACTTGTTGTTAATCACAAGTTACTAAAAATCGTTTTATATTTAATTGTTCTGAAATTTTTATTAATAATGCATTTAAAATGTCCTCTATCACCTTACTTTGTGATGCCTTGATGTCGCATTGCAAACGCTTTTAACATTCACTTAACTAAACTTAACTAAATTCTATTTTTGAGTACAAGAAGTAACAAAAAAAAAAGAACTTCAAAGATTAGATGTAACGTTAATATGAAATAAAGAAAGAAAAAACAGTTAAAAAATAAAAATCAAATATTACTAGAATTAACTGTCACTTGAAATGAAGGAAATAAATCAGATAAAAAAGCTCTTTATAAATAAAACCCAATATTACTGAAATTAACTGTCATTTGAGTACAATACTACCCAAAGTAAATAATTTACTTGACACGTGTTTTGGCAACAGCACTTTGTAGAGTAGAGGGCACTCAGCCTGCGATGAATTTCTAATCTATAACAAATGTTTAACTAAGCCTCGCAAGCATGATTAATAAGTTATGAAGAACATGGCAAAAAGAGTTTTAATTTTCAAGTTAATTTTCAGTTCATTTGTTTTACATGAATAAAAAATAAGCTCTTTAGAAAACTAGACTTTTGTTCCCGTTTTGTTGTATCCTGTTTGACGCTCATGTTCTCGGGGAAATCAGAAAAGGTGCAGAACACAAACAAAACAATTATGTCATGGAAACTGCAACAAGTACTTGTATTTGAAATACATAATCGTAGCTGAAATAATGTTATAGATCATCCATTAATTGGTAAAGTGTTTTAACCTTAATAGATATCTAATCTAATCTAATATAAAGCATTATCACCATTGGGGCAATTATATAGACTGAGTCGTTATGATTGAGCCAAGTCATGACAAAACCAACATAATGTGTTTGCGACCAGCATGGATCCAGACCAGCCTGCGCATCCGCGAAATCTGATCAGGATGTATGATGTTCGGTTTTAGTTTCTCTACTTGTAAAAGGGTTTGTATGCGAAAAGCATGGATCCTGATCAGACTGTGCGGATGCACATGCTGA